ACACACACACACACACACACACACACACACACACACACACACACACACACACACACACACACACAAAACTTTGTATTTCTATCCTTATTAGGACTGTTCATTGACTTCCATTCATTTTCATTTATGTCTGACCCCTGACCCAAAATCTAACCTCACAAGTCAATACCTAACCCTAAATCAATTCAAATCTTAATCCTAAAGCTAATCCCTAACCCAAAAATTGAGTTCCATTATATTAGGGCCAGTCTTTGGTCCCCATAAAAACTACTGGTCTTGACAAAGTAGGAATGTRTAACAGAAACAATCATAAAAATGTAACAAACATAAGTACACACACAACTCTTTCACACCAGCTCATTACCCATCTGTAGTGAAGGACGTTTATATTTCATTCATATTCAGTGATAATCTGTTCAGTCTCACACACTCACAGATGCTTCACCCTGCCCTAATCTACCCTCACTAAGACAGAAACTTTGATTAAACTCTCAAAGGCCACAATAAATTCATTTACATGTTGATCCTGGCTGTCTGCTACAACTAGTTTGCATGTTTTAATGTTCAGAACGATATATTTTTATGCTGGAGCACATTTTGCATATCACCTTCAATCTGAAATGTTCATTTTTGCTTGTGTTCTTTTAAGGCCCAACTCTTAAAACTGCAGTGATTTGCCAAAAGAAAAAAAAACTAATGTTTTTTCCACATACCAAAGGAATCCACACAGTGATGTTGATAAGAAACAAGGAAAGCAGATAAAYTGGTAATCTGTTTCATCAAGCTGCAGATAGGTGTTGCTGGAAAGCTTTTGATTGATCTGAATGTCTGATAAGAAATAGCAGGTTATTTTAGATTTCAGTGTCTTTGAATCATTTTAGGGATGGCAAAATTTAAAAAAAGCTGTTTCAAAATCATTGCAAGACCTTTCCCCTCAGCATTAATGGGGTCTCTAAAGCTAATCTCCTAATATTTAATTTTGTAAACCCACATTTGTGACTTTATTCTTCCTCACTGAGCATTAAAAAGCTTTAGAGGTTCATTAAAATCCCCTGAGGGACCYGAGTACAGCTGGATGCTTGGCAAGCTGCTATTAGCATCACTGTTAGAGCATTATCACTAAACGTGGAAGCTCATATTGTTGTTATCATTATTGTTCTTGACTTAAAAAAAATCAATTTTAAGATGAGATAAAATGGGAAGACAGGTGTTTTTCTGTTTTAATTAGCATTTTAAAGCCCTTATTAAACTCATTAACGAAAGGCAGACAGTTATCAAGTAATCAAACGTTGGTTTTCAGTGTACATTAAATTAGATAAATATTGCTTGTGTTGTTGTTTGTGAAGCTCCTGGAAGTGACCCGTGATGTCTGTTTCAGAACTGCTGCTGGATGACTTCCTGTTGACCTACCTTGTGTTCATGTCTACAAACGACCTCTGTCAGGCGCTGCTGGGACAATATCCTTACAACGTGCATGCAGACACTACAGACTGTCACACGTCCTTTTGGTCTCTGCGTTGTGTCTTTTGTCGTCTCCTTGACCACACTCACCTATAGCAGCGCACGCTGCAGGGGCCAGGAGGAAGGCAAAGACGCCCTCTACAGGAAGCGCAAGGTGCTGCGGCTGGTCTCCCACTGGAGCCGGCTTTATAAGGACTTCCTGAAGGAAGAGGAGCATGTCAGGAGCTTCATGAAGGTACGGCACTGGGATTTATTATCACAAACAGTATTTATTTATGAACTGGAGAGCTTCTGTTGTCTTTGTCTTATTAAAAGAAGCTGTTTAGGTTTTGTACTGAATCAGATTAAACTCTTTTAGTGTGACAGCAGCACAAAAACAAAGTGACAAGACGAAACAAGATGTGATTAAAGCCATGAACATCCAGGCACCAGTCGCTTTTTTCCCATCATAACCTGACAGCTCGGATGCAGTTGCTATGGAAACCAAAGTCRTAGGGTTGACAAGGGTATAAGCTTATATGGAGTGTGTAACCCAGGTGATAGTTGCCTAGAAACAGAAATGAGAGAGGCATTGAACTTTTGAGGTTACGGTGTGTCAATGATGGTGATAAAGAGAGGTGTGTGTGTGTGTGTCATTTTGTCCATGAACTCTGAAGAAGCATGTACATATACGGTGTTACATAGCTTGTGTGTGTGTGCGTACATTGTGTGTGCTCCCAGTGTTGGCGCCAAGCATCAGTGTGCTGTTTTAACGGGCTTAACTGTGCAGCATGTTGAACAGGCTTGGACACGCTTCCATGGAGAGAGAGCAATTACCCCCACACGCACCCCTCCCCTCCCAACCCACACACACACACAAAACACACACAGGAAAAAAAACAAGCAGCAGATTACTGTGATTAGCCTAGCACATACACATTTTCTTTCTTTTTTAAATCTTTCTCACAAGAGATAAAGTCCCCAAGGTCAGACTGAATGAGTTATTCATCAGTGTGTGTGTGTGTGTGTGTGTGTGTGTGTGTGTGTGTGTGTGTGTGTGTGTGTAGACGTATGTACTGCAGGGCCTGTGACTGTGTGTTTGAATTTGTNGTGTGTGTGTGTGTGTGTGTGTGCATGTGTGTGTGTGCATGTGTGTGTTGATCTGTGCAAATTTTTACTGTTATGACCTTCTGAATTTTTATGGCGTTCATTAATTCTCCATCATACACACACAGACACCACAAAGCACACCTGAACACTTSACGTTATTATATAACGACCTGCAAACACTGTCATCAGGCTGGGTGGTGTTTATTTATATATATATATATAGTTTTGRTTTATTTTTTATTTCTAGCAAATGCAACAAGAGAAGATAGCTACATTTTGTTAATTATAGCAAATATTTTACAATCTGTAAAGAAAATTTCAAATAAAGAAGTAAAAATTGAGTAGTCATTCTCTGACCTGCAGCAGGTAGCAGTTAGCACACGGTCGTTTAGGATAACAAATGCACAAGACAAGCTGAGTTAGCTTATGTTTAACGTGACAACAAAAAAAAAGTTTTAGGATTTCAATGTGGCGCCAACAAACGTGTATTTTTGCAACATTTCACTTTTGCATCAATAGTTATTTATCGAGGAGAACCGTGGAGTTCCAGCACAGCCTGTAATCCTGAAACATGATTCATGCGCACCTTCGTCTGGCAAAGATTCAGTTTCTGTTTCTGCCAGATGCAGCAGTCGCCTCGCTGTTCTGAGCTTGGTTTTTCTATCAAAAACCGCCTGCATCTCAAACTGCTGACGGTTTTCTACAGGTTGCGAGACGCTGACGAGTCATCTTCACACCTTTTGAGAAAGCTCGACTGTTCCTTTAACGTGGGTCGTAACGTCGTTCCTGTCTCCTCTGTTTGTCAGACGCTGTACAGATGTGTCTTAGAGGATCTGTATGAGTTCCCCACACTGGAAAAAGACCTGAAGGAGTTTCAGAAGCTTCTGCGCCGCAGACAGTAAGATCAGACTGAAATGTGATTTCTACGAGACTGTGTGTGTGTGCCTAACTCCTGTTGCTTTTCTTGCAGCACGGTGGATGACTGCCCTCCAAATCCAAAGGTATGTCAAAGAAACTTTGAAAAACACACCAACGTTAACTTTTAGCTTTCAGACTCTTCATGTGCCGTATCGAATAACATCTGATGGGAAATTAAAAACATAATATCAGCTCTGTTTCTTCTGATTTTTCTCTTGCAGAGTAAACAAATGTATCAGCAGTTGAGTTTGAAGGAAAACAGTTTGCAKCTTCGCAATTCACAATCAGAAACACGAGAAGGTGAGACAAAAACTCCTCTGTTTAAAGTTAGTTTCCTCTCTGTGTGAGATGGTTTTACAACCACTGAATTTTTTTCTTTGATCYTTTGTTTTCAGTGATCGTTTGCGTATACGTGAGCGCTGACTCCTACCTAAGCATCCACACACATCCTGCTCTGGAGGCTCACGAGCTGCTGCGGATCGTGAGCATGAAGCTGGACAGAACCGAGGAGGACATGGTGCTCGCCGTGGTGTCGCACACTGGAGGTACAACGCAACAGAAAACGCACACACAGATACACACACCTGGCCTTCTTATACAGTAATAAACAAAAGGACAACCTCACRCACATGTAACTTATTTATTTCCACATGCTAAGAGCTGTGGTCCTAAAAAACTTTCAAACTTGGTATGATTCACTGTTTTGAAACAGCCTCGTCATCTTTGTCTTCTCTGTCCTGTTTGGACTCGTCTCTGCAGAGCGAAGAGCKCTGCAGCCCAGTGACTGTGTCTATTCAGAGTCTCTGACCCCACAGGGGAAGCTAGTGGCCTGTCACAGGGACCTCACCGAGCTCTTGGTACGTAAACACCCGCTTCTGTTTTTGCATCGGTGTCTTTGTCACATCGGATCTTCCTCAGTTTCTCAGAAGCACTGATGGAAACAAAACATCTTAAAGAAGCCAAGATAAATGTTTGCTCTTTGATACTGTTGGAGGTTTAATTTGTTTGCTGTCGTCTTCCTTTAAGATTACCTTCCCAGCTGATACATTTTGTCAGCAACAAGCAAATTTATACAAAACCATTCATCTTAGAGCCAAATAAGTTTTTTGTGCATTTTAGCTCAGTTTGGTTTGTTTCTGTTTGCAGCCTCCTTTAACAGACTGCACTGAGTTGAGCAGGAGGCCGGTTCGTCTTTTAGGCATCAACACCTGGGATGTGGCAGCAGCACTCACACACCTGGACTGGAGCCTCTTCAAATCCGTCCATGAGGTACAAACACATAAATATACTGTTTGTGTATATTGTACTGCATTTATACATTTCTAATCATAATTTAATTGTGGGCAGCACGGCAGAGCGGTGTTTAAATAGGTTGTTTCTTGGTGAGAAGGTTGCAGGATCTCCTCCCAGCTCACCGTGACCTGGAAAAGAAGAAGCGGGTTAAGATAATGGATTGATTGATGAATAATAATATAAATAGTCGTATTTATACCAGTATTACCATTAAAATAGTTAGGGGGTTAGTTATGTCATTATTCCCAGAAATATAGTTAGTGCTAGCTCCCGGTCAAACCAGTAGCCCCAGTGCATAATACTACCACCACCATGCTGAACACCTGGGCTTAATGACTCACCTTTAACTGTCTAAAATATGTTCAAAAAAAACAAAATTGATGCTTCTGTTTTAAGGGTCGTTAAAAGCATATTATGATTGGTATAAATGTGTAGAATAGAGAGCGTATAACCTTATTATTACTAAACTGTATATAGGTTTGGGTAATTTCACACTTGCTTCTGTCGTCTCCCATGCAGCAGGAGCTGGTGTACTACACTCTGAGCAGAGCTCCAGGTGCGGGTTACACAGCGGCGCTCTCAGTCCTCCTCCAGCGATGTAACGAGGTCCAGCAGTGGGTCATGTCCGAGGTTCTCATGTGTGTGTCGCTCAATAAGAGAGTGCAGCTGCTCAAGAAGTTCATCAAGATCGCCGCTCAGTGAGTTCATCGAGCGCTGCCGTTTGTCCGGGAGYGTCAGGATCCTGTGTGGTTCAACTCGTGTTGTTTCTTCTGTGTGTTGCATGCAGCTGTAAAACCCAGAGGAATCTGAACTCCGCTTTCGCCATCATCATGGGCCTTAACACGGCCGCTGTCAGCCGGCTCAACGTAACATGGGAGGTGAGAAGGAGGAGTATCACTGTTTATTTCAATGCACCATCATTACTGCACTTCCTGCTCTGACTGAACCTCCCCCTTTTCAGAAATGTCCAGGGAAGTTCAAGAAGCTGTTCTCAGAGCTGGAGCTCATCACGGTGAGAACATTGCTGCTTTTATTAGCTAACAATAAAATCCCTCCGAAGCTTTTCTTTTTACTCATTTGTTCGTTTTAAAGGATCCATCTATGAACCACAAAGCTTACAGGGAGGCCTTCAAAAGGATGAAACCTCCTAAGATCCCTTTCATGCCTCTTCTACTAAAAGGTACATTCTACTCACACTGATGCAAACATAAAACACAAAATTAAACCTTGCTAAGCCTCTCTACTGCTTTCAGACATCACTTTTATCCACGAGGGAAATAAAACCTTCCATGACAACTTGGTCAATTTTGAGAAGCTGGTGAGTTGAGGCAGTTCTGTAAAGTTTTTACACCTTACATTATTTTTGACTGGTGAATTAATTAAGCTACAAGTGACCGATTAATTAGATTCTTGGCTCATTCCTAATTAGAAAACATCTTCTCTTTTAATTCCACAGCATATGATAGCAGACACGGTGAGAATGATTCGCCACTGTCAAAGCGACCAACAAGGTGAGTCCTGTCTTTTCTCAGCACTTTACTTTTATTCAGCAAGGACAGCTGAGTAGCAGCAAACCTCTTAAAGCAGTTTGAGATTTGAATTCTCCCAACACAGGGATCTGCAACCTGCAGCTCTGGGGCCACATGTGGCTCTTTGGTCCCTCTACAGTGGCTCTTTGAAAA